CTCCAATTGATCATCCTCTTATTGGCATGTGTAAAAACCCTTACATATCTGGGCAGCATCATCGATGAACACGGTGGATCTGATGCAGATGTCATCGGCAAAGCAATAAATGCATATCTACAACTGAAGAACATCGGGAACTCAAAACAACTATCAACCAACAACAAAGTCAGAATTTCCAGTCAAGACAGTTCTACTGTATGGGGCGGAAACTTGGACAACTACGAAAGACATCATACAGAATATACAAGTATTTATTAACAACTATCTACGTAAAATACTTCGGATTCGTTGGCCAGACACTATCAGCAACAATCTACTGTGGGAGAGAACAAACTATATCTCAGCAGAGGAAGATATCAGAAAGAAGCTCTGGAAGTGGATGGGACACACATTGAGGAAAGCACCCAATTACGTCACAAGACAAGCTCTCACATGGAATCCTCAAGGCCAAAAGAGAATAGAAATACCAAAGAACACATTACGCAGAGAAATGGAGACAGACATGAAGAGAATGAACAACACTTGGATGGAACTAGGAAGGAAGGCTCAGGACAGAGTGGGTTGGAAATTTCTGATTGACAGATTATGCTCCATTAGGAGTAACAGGCTTAAGTAAGTAAGTAAGTAAGCGTACTGTGTGTATTGCCTCAATATTTCAAAACAAAGACAAACTATATGATGCCGAATTAGCATTCTCAATCATGCTTTAGTCATTATTAAGAACGAATAAAAATTTTAAATATTGAACTTCATCCAGTTTCCTACATGAAATTGATTTGTAGGTCAATGGATTTAAAAATCAATATGGAACACTTAAACAATGAAATGTTGCATCAATATCAAATCATTGAATGTGACTAATTTCTCTTACCAGACATAGAAAGAAGAGCTGCATCAGCAGCCTCACGTTTACTTTTGCATTTGACATCTAGAATCAATAGTTTAATTAAAACATTGAATTGTTTCTTTTCACATACATTCGTCAATTTCCCAAACTCTATCGAAACTAGTTTTGGTTATTTCATCTAAAATATACACAGGAAAATTTAGGGGGAACTTGTTTATCATTAAATTATGTAATATAGAGAAGATTTGTAGCTCAGGTGGATGATTTTGATGGAGTTTTGTTCTCCTAGCTGAATAGTTTGGTTGTAGAGCTTTTTTTATTCTTCGGAACGATATCATCAGTACAAACTTCTACCAAACCATTCAGCTCAGAGAACAAAACTCCATCGAAATTATGTAACGTACATTGCAATACTCAAACTATCAAGTGTCCATATTATTTATTAAATCTATTTGTTATTAGATAAGAGGTTTACTTATAAAATAAATGACAACTGATAGGTGTGCTCAAGTTACAATGACAGATAATATCAAAATGAGAACGAGTAACACCAATATATGGAAACTGTTCATTTGAAGTAAACATGATAATGTAGAATAGAATAAAGCGATTTATTTACACTTTAAAGATGAACTTCTCCTCATATTCAAACGATGTATAGCTCCATTCAAACAAACATATAATGCATGAGTTTAAAATTTTCAACGCCAATTACGGTCTGCTCCAATCATTTAATTTGACAATACTGGGAAGCTGAATAACTCCGCCTGTAGCTCTTCTAGAGTTACTGCCGGTTGCAAGCCCGGATAAAGGAGGAGGGTTGGGTATGGAGTTAGCGACCCTATGCCGTAGAAAACTAGCTCGCTAAGAAAACGTTAATCAAAAGTAAGGGAATCTAAATGAAAGTAATCTGAATATGGAATTATCATGTTAATTATTTACCATCTATTCAATCCAGAAAACTGATACATGAGAAACGATTGAAATTTCTCTACATCTTAGTATTTGCATTATCTTCATACTGGAACTTTTGATGTTTATATCACCACACTGGAAATGGTTATAGAGAGAGTATTGACATGGTCAAACATCTAGGCTGCGGTTTTGTAAACCACGTAACTTTGATACTGGTATTCCTATTTAAGATTGTCATCAATACCTAATTATGTATGTTAATCATTTGTACTTAATTCAATTAAAGTTTTACAATTTATCGTGATTCAAGTCACTGTGAAAATCAACAAGTACCATCAAAGAGATTCAAATAAACAATCTTGATATTTTCTCCTTCATTTCAATAACATTGTTTATATTATAAACGTGACAATGAAGCAGAAATAGTTAAAACAAAGAAAGCTGAATGTGATAGCATTAATTTGACTTCACAGTTACTGATACCGGTAAGTGCTTATGAATTAGAATGTAGGGCCAGTCAAATGTCACTGGGTCCTAACCAAATCATCCATCGATCGAGTCACTAAATGTCGAACAGTTCACCGATTCTCTTCAAGTTCAAAGACAACCAACGCGCATCAATTAACCACATTCCATGAACTGGTCCATGCGGTGGTGGTTGCAATATCTTCCTTGTGTCTATTCTTACTAATACATTTCTGTAATAATGTCTTTTATGTCATACTGTCTTCGAATCATCCATTGTACCTTGATAGGACAAAAGGGTAGTCCACGTTAGGTGTCGACAGTGAGGTGTGACTTAGACCCGCAATCATTCGACACAGGTCATCTACGTTAGTGATCTGCAATAACTAGTTTCATTAGTTGAACAACTGTATATAATGAATACAAACAATCGTTCATCGTGTAAAATTTGATTTGATTATACTATACGAGCAGAAAATATTAAAATTCACAATCAAAAAAACGAAATTACTTATAAGTTTTTTTATTTCTTCATCGTAGTAACCAATCTCCGCTGAACCATATTTCAGTAAATCGTCTATTTAAACAATTACATATCATAATAATTAAACGTGTTTTATGGATTATCAGTATGGGGTTGTGGAGATCATTACGTTCTTGATTGAGATCATGAACTGATTGATGTTAGACCACAACTGAAAACCCAGACGCACTGCACATCCGTTTCGTCCCATTGTGGAACTCCTTGGCAGCGAGCATTCAAGATCGCACGCGGGATTCGAATTCAGGACCTTCAATATAGTGCGCGAACGCTTAACTTCTAGACCACTGATCCGGCTGACATGCGACGGTGTTAATGTTTAAATTCAACCAATAAACTAGATCGGGCGGCCATCTTTCATTGTCATGAGATAGATATCTATCACTACCTGACACGAATTAGCTCCATTGGTCACGGCTTCTCACTAGAACTACAAGAATTCCCCCTTGAAGCTAGTCTAGAAGTAAAGCGTTCGCACGTGATACTCAAGGTCTGCAACTCGAATCCCGCGAGCCGGATCGTGGATGCACACTGCTGAGAAGTCCCACAATAGTTTAAAACGGTCTTCCAATGCTTCCCGGTTTTTAATAATGATCTAACATCAATCGGTTCATGATCTCAATCATAAAGGATTTTATGGATATCTTTATGTTAAAGACTATTATGCACATTATATCAAACAAATAATCCATTAACATTATTTTACAAACAATATTGATACACATATCAAATTCAAAGTAATGAACATAAACGAGTGAATATAGATTTTCTTTATTCATACAGTATGTTGTTTAAATACATTTGATAAAATATGATAAATAGACTGTAAATATCAAAACTATTACTTACATTTACTGAAAACAAATTCATTTTCAGCTTTCCTTAGATCATCTGAATTGATATCTGTAATAAAGAAATAGTATTTGTTTCAATTATTTTCATTCATTTTTCTATGTTGATCTTTACATTCAAGTGAATTGATTCTTGGACAGCTCAGAACCAATTAGACGACTTGGACTTCGCAGATGACCTAGCCCTCCTATCACATACACACGAACAAATGCGGATAAAGACAGTCAGCATAGCAGCAGTCTCTGCATCAGTAGGCCTCAACATACACAAAGGGAAAACCAAGGTCCTCAAACACAACACGGAGAACAGCAATCCAATCACTCTTGATGGCGAAACTCTGGAAGACGTGGAATCCTTCACATACCTGGGAAGCATCGTCGATAAACAAGGAGGTTCAGATGCAGACGTCAAGGCGAGGATTGGCAAAGCTAGAGCGGCATTCCTTCAACTGAAGAACATATGGAACTCAAAAAAACTTTCAACCAATATCAAAGTCAGAATCTTCAATACGAACGTCAAGGCAGTTCTACTGTACGGAGCTGAAACTTGGAGAACTACAACAACCACCATCAAGAAGGTACAGGTATTTATTAATAGCTGTCTACGCATGATACTCAACATCCATTGGCCGGATACCATCAGCAACAGCCTTTTGTGGGAGAGAACCAACCAGCTTCCATCTGAAGAGGAAATTAGGAAAAGACGATGGAAATGGATAGGATATACATTACGCAAATCATCAAACTGCACCACGAGACAAGCGCTAACTTGGAATCCTGAAGGGAAGCGGAAAAGAGGAAGGCCAAAGAACACATTACGTCGGGAAATAGAAGCAGATATGAAAAAGATGAATAAGAACTGGAAAGAGCTTGAAAGGATTGCCCAGGACAGGGTTGGATGGAGAATGCTGGTGAACGGCCTATGCTCCTTCACGAGGAGTAACAGGCGTAAGTAAGTAAGTAAGTAAGTAAGTAAGAATTGATTCTGATTACTTACAACATATGAATGTCATTGCAGCCTATGCTCCTTCGCGAAAAGTAACAGTTGTAAGTAAGTATAAGTAATTGTTAGAATAGATTATTGATCTCATTGAAGTGCATGCTTATTCACTTCACAAACATTTCATATAATTTAATTAATAATGTCAATTATATTAAATTACTATTGAGATAAGTCTTAGGAAACTGATATTACAAAAAGAAGATTAGTAATTAAATATGATCAAAGTATTCAATTCAAGTAAACGTTTCAACTTAATCAATTGTGTGATCGATCATTGTCAAATGTTTAAGTTATCCTATTGTGAATTGAAATGGTGCACTTTTGTTTATATCACATCTCAATATTATTTAGAAACTAAAGACAAACTAGACAAGTTCAGCAATCCACATGAATAACGATCAACTTTAAATATGATGATGATGATGATGATGATGATGATGATGATGATGATGATGATGATGATGATGATGATGATGATGATGATGATGATGATGATGATGATGATGATGATGATTTGGATGATGATGATGATGATGATGATTTGGATGATGATGATGATGATGATGATGATGATGATGATGATTTGGATGATTTGGATGATGATGATGATGATGATGATGATGATTTGGATGATGATGATGATGATGATGATGATGATTTGGATGATTTGGATGATGATGATGATGATGATGATGATGATGATGATGATGATGATGATGATGATGATGATGATGATGATGATGATGATGATGATTTGGATGATGATGATGATGATGATGATGATGATGATGATGATGATGATGATGATGATGATGATGATGATGATGATGATGATGATGATGATGATGATGATGATGATGATGATGATGATGATAGTGTTTTCATTCTATTTGTAGACCGGATCATATGTCATAATACGAGGAAGTGTATTTGCAAATGGTAGTTTAAATAAACTTGTTAACTTACCAGTTTGTATGGATATATGAAATTGGAGAATAAGTAGGATGGCTTGAAACAAAACTGAATAATGCATGTTGATTGAATCTAATGGATTTAGTCTCTTCCTTCTTATTTTATCCTTATGAAGATTAAATGACGGGTAACTTCTGAAAACTATTAATGGACTAATATTATCTATATATTCCTATTGTATAACTATTCAGTAATTAGATTATCTATATCTATATTCCTCATATTATAAGGTTCATTTTGACTTATAAATTAATTATCATACGATTTACTGTTCTTAAGTTATACTCAGTTTATTGATTACAGTCTCCCACGATCACAACTACTATTTGGCTTGATCTTGTATAAATGTTACTTCTGATTGTATGGTATAATACGACCTGTTTGGCTGGTAATATAAACCATTTATGTCTGAAACAAATGATTTGCATAATAGAAGCTGTTATTGGCTTTGTGGACTTCACTGTCAGAGCTAGGTGAACAAATGTCCAATAAAGACTCTACACTATTCATACCAGTCGTATAGCATTGATTTGGCACAGTATACAATTTGAATAAGTTGTATTTCGATTGGCGAATAAATCACATAATAACTAACCGGGTTTAAAGTCACAATAAATTGATGACGGGGGTTTAAAGCAAAAAAAAATACACAACACTTCTATAATCACTTCTTCTTCTTCTTTTTCTTCTTCTTTGTCTTCGTCTTTCCTTTTTTATATTCTCTTAAATGATGGATGGATGGATGGATGAATGGAGGTGAATGCCAAATACAAATGAAAAGATGAAAATAATGAACTATGTGTTGACAGTATTCAGTAATAGAATATAATCTTATATATTGAATATCTTCTTTTGACAAGCAAACGTTTCATTAGATTTATGCTTAAATACTAAAGTGAATATTCTTTTTTGAAAAGAATGTTGACATTTTTTTTATAGACTGAACTGATAAATAATGAAGAAAAAAAAGAGAGAAATATTATTTTTCTTTTGGTGAGAAAAAAAATGAAGTCAGGTCACCGTAATAATTAGTTGCTTATCATACCACTACAACTACTACCACTACTAATACTACTACTACGACGACGACTACTACGACGACGACTACTACGACTACTACGACTACTACTACTACTACTACTACTAAGACTACGTCTGTAGTGAACAAGAACACAAATGGGGACAATCGAATGTATTTAGGCACATAATTACAGAGCATCTCAATAAAATCTGAGAACCATATATGTTAAATCGTTAATTTGCAAAATATCAATCCATCATATCAAACTTGACTGTTCCTGTTGCAAACATCAATCCATTGTCTCAGATTTTATTGTTCATACGTTTTCATATCAATTGCATTCCGTTCCCGTTCTTTCCTCATCGACCTTCTACTGAAATATATTCTATGCCTGACCACCGTCATATACTACTTGTGTGGATATAAATAACCCAAACCACACTACGACTACTATTACTACCACGACTACTACTACTATAATTACAACAGCAACCACTACTACTACTACTACTACTACTACTACTACTAATAATAATAATAATAATAATAATAATAATAATAATAAAAAGAACACATTACACCGAGAAATGAAGACAGACATGAGAAAAATGAACAAGAATTGGATGGAACTAGAAAAGAAGGCCCAGGACGTAGTGTGTTGGAGAATGCTGGTCGGCGTCCTATGTTCCATTAGGAGTAACAGGCGTAAGTAAGTAAGTAAGTAAGTAAGTAAGTAAGTAAATAAGTATGTATGTATGTATGTATGTATGTATGTATGTATGCATGTATGCATGCATGTATGACTTCATATTTAGTAAGTTTTTCTTTGGAGGTTTGCTGTGTAATTGTCATAATTATCATTACAATAATATATTAGGGTATGTGAACATATACCAAAATGGTTGCAGAAACTAATACAGTCAAGTAATCCAATAAGAGTAGAGGATAAACATCCATCATCCTCTATTGCAAAATATTTAATCGAAACAGGTCATAAGATTGATCTTAACTAAGCTTTTGTGGTGTTGTATTAAAGTCTAAAAGGGCGTATACTAAGGTTTATTGAAGCTGTAGGGCTCACCAGTGTAGATCACCAACGTAGATGTTCTATGTTGAAATGATTGGAGGCCTACTCGAGTTAGACGGGAATAGTGTGACGAACCAGCTAGTATCGAAGTCATACCTCGTGGTCAGCACCATACATAGACTACCCCATTCACGTATCAAGGTACCATAGATGGTTTGAAGACTGTAAAACACAGAGGACGTTATTACAGAGATATATTAGTTAAAGTAGATACAAGCGAAAGTAAGACCACTGCCGCATGGACCAGTCCATGGCGTACGATTAACTGATGCGCGTTGGTGGTCCCTGACCTTGACGAGGATCGATGATTTGTTAGATATTCAATGACCAAACTGCCGGATGATTTGGCTAGGGCTCAGTGGAATTCCACTGGCCCTACAAAGCCTTAACCATACGAATATTCAAACCCACTTTGTGTATTTGTTCTCATCTTAAACCTACCCTATTAACATTAAGTTATTATTCAGAGTGATGAAGTTTTAAATTATTTTCACCTTATTACTTTATTATCCTTGTCTTCCTCTTACCCTCCATTTCTAGTCTAGTTGACCTTTTATTTCTTATATATAAATGTTCTGAACAAGTATATTATGAATGATCAGATTGTTCGAAATGTAATGCCCTAATATAATCCACATAGTTCTGATAATCTTCGTCTTCTTATTCACGATCGAAATTCATCAAAAGAACTAATTGCTTTGAATTGATTACTTGTAATTTACAAATAAACCAACAAGAATTTGGTTCTTTTATTATTTGGATAGTAAGTTACGGGTAGATCAATCGATCAAGCATCAATAACAGACGAGAGCAAAAATTGAACTGAACACTTTATAATTCTTTTTTATTACAAACTAGCTATTCTTAATGCGTAGTATTCTTGGACAGTAATTCATTCAACAAGTTCTCAAATCAGAACATGGTTGAACAGGAAAGAAATTATATTCTAAATAACAAGGGTAGATGAAAATAAGAAGTACATGATGAAAATCGAGTTCCTTCGGAAGTCACAAGGCTCATTCCCTTTCTGACAATCAGAGTAACTATTAATTTAAATACATGGAATGTTTGTACAATATGGAAGAATGTTTCAGAGGATGATATCATCGTCAAGGAAATGTTCTTCATCGAAACTTCTTCATTCTTTCAATGAATCAATGAACTACTTTCATTTTCTCAATTATATCTTTTGTTGTATTCAATAATGAATTGAAGTAATAGAAAAAGAGCTATGTGAAATTTCATGCCGTATTGTATTCTTGTGAGAAATATGATTTATAATGCTTCAATAAAGGTCATATATTTTTATAATGTTCAATATTGATCATGTGATTTATCGGAATGAATCTTTCAATTAAAAAGCGGTAAATACTTACAAAATCTCTACATTAAGAATTCTGCTTTCTATCTAAATCCAAGTAAGTTGTACTTAGCTGAGAAATTCTATTACTTACTTACTTACTTTTGCCTGTTACTCCTCGTGAAGGAGCATAAGCCGCTCACCAGTATTCTCCATCTAACCCTGTCCTGGACAACCCTTTCCAGCTCTTTTCAGCTTTTATTCATCCTTTTCATATCCGCTTCTATTTCCCGACGTAATGTGTTCTTTGGCCTTCCTCTTTTCCGCTTCCCTTCAGGATTCCAAGTTAGCGCTTGTCTCGTGGTGCAGTTTGATGATTTGCGTAATGTATATCCTATCCATTTCCATCGTCTTTTCCTAATTTCCTCTTCAGATGGAAGCTGGTTGATTCTCTCTCACAAAAGGCTGTTGCTGATGGTATCCGGCCAATGGATGTTGAATATCTTGCGTAGACAGCTATTGGTAAATACTTGTACCTTCTTGATGGTGGTTGTTGTAGTTCTCCACGTTTCAGCTCCGTACAGTAGAACTATCTTGACGTTCGTATTGAAGATTCTGACCTTGATATTGGTTGATAGACAGTTGTTTTGAGTTTCATATGTTTGTCAATTGAAGGAATGCTGTCCCTGCTCTGCAGATCCTCGCCTTTACGTCTGCATCTGAACCTCCTTGTTTGTCGACGATGCTTCCCAGGTATGTGAAGGATTCCACATCTTCCAGGGTTTCGCCATCAAGAGTGATCGGATTGCTGTTCTTCGTGTTGTGTTTGAGGACCTTGGTTTTCCCTTTGTGTATGTTGAGGCCTACTGATGCAGAGACTGCTGCTATGCTGGCTGTCTTTATCTGCATTTGTTCGTGTGTATGTGATAGGAGGGCTAGGTCATCTGAGGAGTCTAAATCGTCCAACTGGTTCCGAGCTGTCCATTGTCTGCCGTGTTTTCCCTTAGATGTCGAAGTCTTCATAATCCAGTCGACCACCAGAAGAAAGAGGAAGGGAGAGAGTAGACCGCCTTGTCTGACTCCGGTCCTTACTTGGAATGCGTCTGTCAGCTGTCCTGCATGCACTACTTTGCACTGTAGTCCGTCATATGAGTTCCGGATAATATTGATAATCTTCTCAGGAACTAACCAGAAAAATTCTATGCTTGCACAAAATATCTATCCATTGTTTTTTTTGGTTATTAATTGTTGCACTTCTGAAGAGTTCCATACTAGGACGAAACAGTTGTTGAGTGTATCCAGGTTTTCAATAATGGTCTAACATTCATCCATTCATAGTATGAATTTAAACTTAAAATTCTCCACAACCCTGGAATTAGTTAGTGATCTGAAATATCGTCAAAGTTAACACAATTTACTTAGTTATTTACTTATGCCTGTTACTCCCGATGGACCATAGGCCGCAGACAAGCATTCTCCAACACACTCTGTCCTCCACCTTCTTTTCTAGTTCAATCCAATTTTTT